GGAATAAACATCTATCTAATCAAGGCCAGTAGCATTATGGGGACCAAAGAAGGGTCCTAATATGGGGGAGGGGGGGTGGGGGGTAGGACTAAAGCCTACTTCACACTCCCGCCGAACTGCAGAAATTGTCACAGTTTCATGACGAAAATTATTTCTCAGCGTCGACTCTACCATCTCTTTTGTCACAACCCGCCGGTGGGACTTTCCACCCCTTCCACAGAAGAACTTATTGTGTGATTGGTCAGAAGTACGTGGGAGTGTTTGTTCATGCTGAAAGTGCTCAGACGCTGCGTTTTGCTTCAACCACTCACTTAAAAAATAAAAAATAAACAAAAAGAATAAAATGACTTGCTTACAGAAGCCGACTGTTGTTCCAGGAAGCAGACATTTAAAGATAGTCAAATGGATGGAGATAAAACAGAGATTGTGCACAGAAGAATCTGTCTGATAAAAACTGTAGAGTTTTAACTGCGACAGATTTGTGCACAAATCAACATTGGGTGAGAAGTCCCAACACTGAAGACTCCAGCGGGAAGAAACTCGGTGCGGTGACAGATACTGCAGTAGGAAGGGTTTCCATTGAACTGGACACCACTGAAGTGATATTCTCAAACCATCCAAATCTTTTGAACGGCTCCTTACAACGAGCAATAGGAGCCAAGTCGCAGGCAGTAAAAGCTCTTTGCAGTTACACTTTTTTATTCCTCCTATAATCTGTATTATTTCATCCTGAAAACAGAGACAACTGCTCCCGCTTTGCCTTTTCACGGAAAACTGGCAGAACGCAGGAGGACAGCAGCTCAGGGGGAAAGAGGAGGGGCTTTCTGCTTTACAAAACACATGGTTCTACCCACGTAACCTGATGACATCATCATGTACGTCATATGTGATGACGTAACTTGTTCAAAAATGAATGGCTCTTTTGAACGGCTCTATGAAACAAATGGCTCCTCAACATCTGGATCTCTTCAAAGAGCCATTTATCCCATTTCTACCCGACATGGTGTGTCCCAGGAACTATGAAAGGTGTGTGTAAAAACAAACGCCAAACAACCACGTGACTGCGCGTTGACCATTCTGCTTCGGTTGGAGTATGTTGAGGCCTTAAGGTATGAGAAGAGGGTGGTGGTGGAATGTTAGAGTAGTATATGTACTAGAAGGTGGTAGATTTAGGGTAAGGATCAGGGTTAGGCTACAGAAATTAATTGAAGTCAACACATGGTCCTAATGAGTATAGGGTGGGGATTTCTGTTTTGTGGATGAAGGCGTTTTGCCAGTAGGGACCAGTTCTCCACAACCTGGAAAGGAAAAGCGTGTAAAGAAAAATGGATGTTGGAGGTGTTTGTGCCTCCAGTTGCCCCTCTAGTTTCAGCATGCATTATTTTGCTTTTCATGCTTATCATGTTGGCATGCTTATTAGTTATCTCCACATTTGTCCATGCCAGCAGCTCTACCTTATCATTACAAACGCTAAAGATAGACGGTTTGACTTGTGCAGACAGGAGTTTTAATTTACAAGAAGTGGGAAGTGTTTGCTGTAATACATGTGGACCTTTGACTTCCCGGAGCATTCTCACAGTGTGTGTGCAACAATTCCAGGAAGGGACACTTGCATTATGAAAGGGAACTCAGAGGTCAACAACTCTGAATAATCCTCACAGATCTGCAAAAATAAACTCAAATCATAGCAGAGAAGCAGACATAAAGACTGTATACTCACTGGCTCACTGTTGGTGGTTGTCTGACATGATGTAGTGACCTGAAAAGAAACACAAGTGCAAAAAAAAGCAACATTATATAACAAGAAGAGCACATCAAGACAAATAAAAAGATGAACCAAGAAGCATGACAGAAAGATGTAAAATATGATCTGTTCGGTCTTCCTATCACTACAAAAAATAAATAAATAAACCAACATTTTCCTTTTTGTCTGCATGGGGAAAAAGTCATTTGGAGTCAAATTTGTTTGTTGGCAAAATATCTCATGAACCAATAGACAAATTACAATGCAACCATCAGAAAGCATTAACTGGATGTACATTTACAACTCGTTAACTTTCAATCACCCAAATTAAAGGTGGCTGCCACATAGACATTAACCAATACAAAAATAGTTCTAACTCAGTCAATTTTACAGATATTGAGCTCAAATGTGTAGCAGTTGCTAGAGTCATCCATCCATCCATCCATCCATCCATCCATCCATCCATCCATCCATCCATCCATCCATTTTCTGTACACGCTTATTCCTTTCAGGGTTGCGTTGTGTGAGTGAGAGAGTGAATGGTTGTTTGTCTCTATGTGTGTCTCTGTGATGGACTTGCGACCTGTCCAGGGTGTACCCCGCCCCTCGCACCGTGACTGCTGGATATGGGCACCAGTGACCATTCAAAACGTAATACGAGTGTTATATACAGAAGGTTATTAAGCTTCTACAATGATTACCCTTTGGAGTCAATGCAACTCAAGATGGCTGCCACAGCTAGTTGTTCTTAGCCAACATAATATGGAGCCCACGAGGGGACATGGGAGATTTTTTTTCTTTTGTGTTCCCACGCAATAGTATTGCGTTACCTCGCAATAGCTTTTGCGTTCCCTCACAAAAGTCGTTTATCACTGTTGTGCCTGCCGGTTTATTAACAAACTCACATGTTCACCATTAGCGAGTTAGCCTACTGCTTTAATTCAGCTTCAGAATGACTATATCCCACAGCCACGCATGGAAGTATGTCATATGCCAATATTTTAATACAGTGCAGCCACGCAACATCAATGTCAATTTCACGAACTTGTGGCGACACATCCTTGTTTTGGTAACCGGATATTTCAAAATAAAAGTCTGATTTAATTCAGTTCATATACAAAACAAACTTTTGCGTGAGAACGCAAAACAATTTTGCGAGGGAATGCAAACGTTTGCGAGGTAACGCAAAAAGTTTTGCGAGGTAACGCGAAGGTATTGCAAGGTAACGCAAAACGTTTTGTGAGGTAACGCAAAATATTGTGAGGTAACGCAATTGTATTGTGCGGGAATGCAAAAGAAAAAATCCCCCCCATGTTCCCTCGCGAGCTCCGTAACATAATAATAGGAGTACCTTAGTGAAATTTACAAATATTAAACTAAAACTGGAAGGTAGTAGCTGACTTTCATTTCTAACATATACTCCAAGTGCTAACAGATAATAAACACTCAATTTTATGAGGGCCATATATTTTTTTGAGCTTTAACCAAAATAACCATAATTTTCGTAGTACTCATCATAAGATGATCAGTCTAAAACTCTCTAAAACGAGTCAAGTACACCGAATTCTAGAGTTGGAAAATCTGAACTTCTGCAGCTCGACGCGGCACGTCAACCAATCAGAGAGACTTGTCTGTGTGACATAGTGACACATTTTCTGAATGATGTCCTCTAACCTGAGACAGATGGACAGGAGCTCTTTAGGTGAAATTGAGTGCTTGTTGTTATGTCTTGTTATTGCATGAAAAGGACAGCAGGGGGAGCTCTGACTGTATATATAAGAAGCGGAATGAAGGAGAAGAAAAGAGAAGAGAATAAAGAGAGAACTGAAGCTGAGCTACGTGTCTTGCCTGCTGATTCTACTATTTCATTATAACAACACAACACGTTATCAGGAACGTGTTGCTTCTTTCAGGAAAGTTGTAATTATTCTGTCATATCAACTAGTTCTGGTGATGTTACATGCTGTCTGGAGACGTAGAGGAAGTAACGCAATTCTTTTCACGTTACGGGATTAACTAAGAGTACACCAACAGCGGGATGAGGTTCCAGCTGCAGTCACTCTGGTACCGGACCAGTTTCAGACAGCGGGAACAGCTGATCAACATGTGAGGTAAATGTTCACTACGTCAGAAATGATTCGAAAAATGTGTTTCCATCTGTCCTTTTAGCGCATTAACTCTTGTGAATTAGAGGAATTTTTTCCGAATCAAGCCGTTTCCATCCACCGTTTCTGATGAGATACTTCAAAATGCTCATTAAAAACCTTTATGGAAACACGGCTAGTGTAGGCCTACTTGATTTACATTTGTATAGCTCACAGCAACTGCCTTTACATGTGAAAGCCTCACCTAGACCTGAGGAGAGGGGGGGCGAAGTCCACATCAATTCACAGCAGTTTTCGACAGTTTTCCGTTCTAACAAAAAAAAATTCCTGCTAACAGCCCTGAATCTCAAATTTCACGGTGATTTTCTATGCCAAGAAAATCCCACTTTTCATGCAGTGTGAGCACAGCCACGCTATGAAGCTCATTTCAGCAGCTTGTAGGACTTCGTTGAAAATCGTGTAAAATAAAAATAAATGTGTGTTCTGAGGTTGTCACACCACAGAAATATGTGTTAAAAATCACCCAGCCAAGTT